CAGTATGTATATCCCAGCTCCCCTGTACTCCATTATAGTGATATGACATGTATACAGTAATGTATATCCCAGCTCCCCTGTACTCCATTATAGTGATATGACATGTATATCGTATGTATATCCCAGCTCCCCTGTACTCCATTATAGTGATATGACATGTATACAGTAATGTATATCCCCCCTCCCCTGTACTCCATTATAGTGATATGACATGTATACAGTAATGTATATCCCCCCTCCCCTGTACTCCATTATAGTGATATGACATGTATACAGTAATGTATATCCCCCCTCCCCTGTACTCCATTATAGTGATATGACATGTACACAGTAATGTATATCCCAGCTCCCCTGTACTCCATTATAGTGATATGACATGTACACAGTAATGTATATCCCCCCTCCCCTGTACTCCATTATAGTGATATGACGTGTATACAGTAATGTATATCCCAGCTCCCCTGTACTCCATTATAGTGATATGACGTGTATACAGTAATGTATATCCCCCCTCCCCTGTACTCCATTATAGTGAAATGACGTGTATACAGTAATGTATATCCCCCCTCCCCTGTACTCCATTATAGTGATATGACGTGTATACAGTAATGTATATCCCCCCTCCCCTGTACTCCATTATAGTGAAATGACGTGTATACAGTAATGTATATCCCCCCTCCCCTGTACTCCATTATAGTGATATGACATGTACACAGTATGTATATCCCAGCTCCCCTGTACTCCAATATAGTGATATGACATGTACACAGTATGTATATCCCAGCTCCCCTGTACTCCATTATAGTGATATGACATGTATACAGTAATGTATATCCCCCTCCCCTGTACTCCATTATAGTGATATGACGTGTATACAGTAATGTATATCCCCCCTCCCCTGTACTCCATTATAGTGATATGACATGTATACAGTAATGTATATCCCCCCTCCCCTGTACTCCATTATAGTGAAATGACGTGTATACAGTAATGTATATCCCCCTCCCCTGTACTCCATTATAGTGATATGACATGTACACAGTATGTATATCCCAGCTCCCCTGTACTCCATTATAGTGATATGACATGTATACAGTATGTATATCCCAGCTCCCCTGTACTCCATTATAGTGATATGACATGTATATCGTATGTATATCCCAGCTCCCCTGTACTCCATTATAGTGATATGACATGTATACAGTATGTATATCCCCCCTCCCCCTGTACTCCATTATAGTGATATGACATGTATACAGTAATGTATATCCCAGCTCCCCTGTACTCCATTATAGTGATATGACATGTACACAGTACTTACTCCTCGAGTCCCCCACGGCGGTGGAGAGGGTGTCACCTCTCAGCGGAGGAGAGCGAACCTCTCCTGCACCTGTCCCCTCAACGGCGGTGCCGAAGAAGCCGGAAGTTGGAAACCGGAACTCTGCTTCACAGTGAGGTTTGGAGCGCAGCCGCTCCATCATCTGTGCTCGCCGCTAAAGAATTTCTCCTCGCATTTGGCGAGCGGGCGAGCAGATTTTTCAAGTCCTGCTGTAAGGGATGCTTTGCATCACAGCGTAGCAAACATTATTTTCCCTGTTGGATTCCTCAGCTGCTCTGAAATACTTGTGGTTGCAGCACAGTGATGTGGTCTTTTAGGATTTAAAACAGGCAGTAAAGAGGTGACATAATGCCTCCTCACCATCTGTCATACGCCCTCTGAAAAGCAATCCGCAGTGGATGACTTTTCAGAGGGTTAACGCAAGTGTAAGGCGTCATTCACATGGGCGTATGTCAGTGAGAGGGCCATATTTGCCTGTATGGGGATCCACAGGTGTTCCAAGCATCCCCATGCAGGCAGTCCCCCTTCTTGTCAGTTTGGAAGCAGTAGCTGCACTAATATAGCCATTGCTTCCAGTTTGACAACCATGTGGGTTGCATGGCCCCATACACAGACAATTGCAATAATCACAAGTGAAAGAGCAAAGACATGTACACTTACCTTGTTCTGTCACTCCTTTTTGCCATTTTTTTTTCTATTTATTATACATACTAGGTTCCCTTTAGGGCTGGTTCACACTACATGTGCGTTTCTTTTTTTTTTTTTTTCTACATCCAAAACGCACAGAATGTAGGTTACATGGTCAATGGCATGGTTCACACCAGTGCTTTCAGTTCCGATTCCAGAAGAAAAGTAGAATATGCTGCATTTTCCCTGCACAGAACTGTACTGGAAAATGCAACAAAAACACACCCAGAACAAGGTACAATGCATCAAAAATGCACCAGAACTCACTGGAACGCATCAAAAATGCACTGGACCCCAAATGACTCCCCCAAAAACACTACAACGCACACAGAAATGTGCCTACAATGCATTGCAGATTGGTACATTTCCATGCAGTTTTATTAGCATTTTTCAGTATATATATATATTTTTTTTTCAAAGACATGTTTCCTCTGAATTATTATTTTGAATGAGAGGTCCGTTGTGCTGCCATGTGTTTTGATGCACATACACACATTTCTGTGCATTGTGGTGTGATATTATGTAAACATTGCATAAAATTGCATTGCTATGGAACAGAGAGAAACACAGCGTGCTGGTGTGAACATGAAACATAAAAAATGTTGTTTGCCATGTGTCATTGCAGTTAAGAATGCAGAAAACTGCATTTAGTGTGAATGGTACCATAGGGAGAGATAAATTAAAAAACAAAAAAAATTAGAAAAGAAAATCTATCCTATCTATCTATCTATCTATCTATCTATCTATCTATCTATCTATCTCGTTGTGCTCAAAGGTTTGCATACCTGGCAGACATTATGGCATTGATGTTGAAAATATGACTGACCATGCCAAAAAAACTGTCTTCAAAGGATAAGTTCACCTTTGGGAACATGTGACATGTTCCCAAAGCTGCAGCCACTGCCTGATTCCCACCCCCCCCCCTCTGTGATGGCAGTATGGTGAGAAGTTCCCCATACAAGCTGTCACTTTTTACAGTGTGGCGGTGTAGGGCTCCGCCCACGCGTCTGCATCATTCATTCAGAGTTCTGTGAATGAATAAACTACAAGTCCCGACAGCCTTAGCGGATGTCAGCTTGTAGTTCTCAATGAACTACCACGACGCTGTGGTAGTTCATTGATTCTTCCTGTCAGTATATCTGCTTGTCCATAAATCTTGTGTGGGCAAGCAGAAATACTGACAGGTCTGCAGGAGACCTGCATGGCACCAGCGATCTGCTGATTGCTGGTGCAATGCTTTATGGTGCAATGCTTTCCAACAAAACGTAATAAATACACATTTTTGTTACCTGCAAAAAAATGCTTGGCCTTGCTACAGACAAAGGATGACACACACAGGTTAAAATGGCAATTAAAGGTTAATTTCCCACATCTGTGGCTTTTTAAATTGCATTTAGTGTCTGTGTATAAATACTCAATACATTTACTAGCTCTTAAATGGATGCACTGAGCAGGCTAGATACAGAGCCATGGGGAGCAGAAAAGAACTGTCTAAAGCTTTGAATATGCCAGTCAGTACTCTTCCATCACTTATTAAGAAGTGGAAAGTTTGGGGATCTTTTGGTACCAAGCCAAGATCAGGTAGGCCAAGGAAGATTGCAGCCACAACTGCTGTTCAGGATACAAAGAAATATCCACAGGTAACCTCAGGAGAAATAGTCTGCTCTGGAAAATACTGGTGTGGTTGTTTCAAGGAGCACAATACGAAGATACTTGAACAAAAACAAGATGCATGGTTGAGTTGCCAAGAAAAAAGCCTTTATTGCGCAAATGCCACAAAAAGCCCGGTTACCATATGCCTGACAACACCTTGACATGCCTCACTGGGCTTTTTTGTGGCATTGGCGCAGTAAAGGCTTCTTTCTGGCAACTCAATCTTGTTTGTAATATATCTTACATATTCAGTACATAGTTACTGTCTATACTGTGTTCATTACTACAAAAGGAGCCAGGGGGCAATTCTTTCCTGCATTCATAGAACAGCATGTAAACAAACATGGTGCCAGACCTCTGCACATGTGCTGGATGTCGTGCCCTGTCTGTTTACATGCTGTTCTATGATAGTAGAAGGAAAGTCTCCTGTCCATGTATCAGGCTGAGGAGGAGCAGAGAAGCTGGAAAACAAGGCGTAAAGAGAGAGAATTTTCTTTACATTTCAATAGCGGTTCTTTGGAGAGGCTAATGCTGGTATTTAGACATGCATACAGTATATGGATCTATATTTTGCTCATGAGAGTTTTTATTTATTATCCATAGTCTGGGCACAGGTGTTCTTTAAGGATTTGTGCATGCATTGATTTTCTTTTGTCTGTCTATCTGTTACTTTAGAGTTGACCATCACTGAATTTGTATCTGTGAATGAAAATAGTCACTTTGAATCCCCCCTGCATTAAGTGAAGCTTTCTCCGGTGTAATGCAACACACACTCTTTAACACAGAGAATCTCATCAGCATATATATAGGTGGTAAGTCATTTAAATGTTACCAGATATAAACTCTACTTGTTTTTATTCTTTACTGTTGTAAAAATATACTATTCCTTTTGACCCTTGACTAGTTGTCTAATTCACATTAATATAAACTCTTACACTAAGGGACACATATAATGTATGTGTGTATATACAGGCGTACCTCGGTTTACGAATTTACTGCGTTCTGCGGGACGTTTCGTATTGCGAAAAATTCGTAAAGCGAAACGCAGTTTCCCATAGGACTGCATTAAAAACCAATTAATGCTTTCCGGAGGTCAGAAAAAAGTAAAAAAAAAAAAAGTCTTTTATCTGTTCAAAACTCTTTATAAAGTGCACTTTAAAGGCATGGGGCCAGCGCTATAAATGCTTCTTATTGGGAAAAAAATTTGTAAACTGAGGCATTATTTTCAATGGATTTTCATTTGTAAACCGAAAATTACGGTAACCAAGGCGTTCGTAAACCGAGGTACGCCTGTGTGTGTGTGTATACACACACACACACACACCTAGGCATGCAGACTGCTTCTACAAACATTTGTGAAAGAATGGGTTGCTCTCAGGATTTCAGTGAATTCAAGCATGGTAACGTGATAGGTTGCCACCCGTGCAATAAGTCCATCCATGAAATTTCCTTGCTACTATATATTCCACGGTCAACTGTTAGTGGTATTATAAGTGGAGCAACTGGGAACAACAGCAACTCAGCCACGAAGTGGTAGGCCACGTAAAATGACAGTGGGGTCAACTCATGCTGAGACACACAGTGCGCAGAAGTCACCAACTGTCTACAGAGTCAATAGCTAAAGACCTCCAAACCTGGTGTGGCCTTCAGATATGCACAACAACCGTATGTAGAGAGCTTCATGGAATGGGTTTTCATGGCCGAGCAGCTGCATCTAAGCCTTACACCACCAAGTACAATGCAAATCGTCGGATGCAGTGGTGTAAAGCACGTCATCACTGGACTCTAGAGCATTGGAGAGGTGTTCTCTGGAGTGACGAATCACACTTCTCTGTCTGGCAATCTGATGGACGTTTCTGGTTTTGGTGGTTGCCAGGAGAACGGTACTTGCCTGACTGCATTGTGCCAAGTGTAATGTAAATGTTTGGAGGGGGGATTATGGTGTGGGGTTGTTTTTCAGGGGTTGGGCTTGGCCCCTTCGTTCCAGTGAAGGGAACTCTTAAGGTGGCAGCATACCAAGACATTTTGGACAATTGCAGGCTCCCAACTTTGTGGGAACAGTTTGGGGATGGCTCCTTCCTGTTCCAACATGACTGCACACCAGTGCACAAAGCAAGGTCCATAAAGATATGGATGAGCGAGTTTGGGGTGGAGGAACTTGACTGGCCTGCACAGAGTCCTGACCTCAACCCGATAGAACAACTTTGGGATGACTTTGAGAGGAAACTGTGAGCCAGGCCTTCTTGTCTGACATCAGTGCCTGACCTCACAAATGTGCTTCTGGAAGAATAGTCAAACATTCCCATAGACACACTCCTAAACCTTGTGGACAGCCTTCCCAGAAGAGTTGAAGTTGTTATAGATGTAAAGGGTGGGCCAACTAAATATTGAACCCTACGGACCAAGACTGGGATGCCATTAACGTTCAGGTGCATGTAAAGACAGGCGTCCCATATATATCTATCTATCCCCCTTATTATGACTTTCACCCCACATTAATTTATAGCTATTCTTCTAGGATTGTGTTGTCTGTTGTTCTATATGGGAATGTTTTTATATTACATAAACTGATTTGAAACAAAATAACACTTTTTTTGCAACAGTATTTAATTCGCAACCTTTAAAATTTTGCTGAATCGCCTTTTTATAGCAATAACTTTGTAGCGGTAGTAAAGTCAAATTTAAAAAAAATGCTGACAGGCAGGGTTTTTATAATAGAAGACACCCTAGTGGTCTCTTCTGTTATAAATGCCTTTCCCGACCTGTCAGCAGTAGCGTAATCTGAGCCGCGCATTTGCAGCTCAGACAATGTTTATGACTCCCACTCTGCCATGGTGAAGTGACTCCCAAGCACATATGTGGGAGTGACATCATCACAGTCTGGCCATTCAAGCGGCCAGAGAGCGAACCCAGAAGGAAGACAGGGAGAAGATGAAAGCGTCCAGGAGCAGCAACAGCGCAACGTTGGAGGACTTTAACAGGTAAGTTGGCAATAATGTGCTAATGCTATTGCAGTGCATGCTAGTACATTATGACATAAACCACCTGCGGGCCTACTTAATTAAAAACTTAGTAAAAAAAAAAAAAGCAAAGAGAAAAAAAAAAGCAGTTTAATATCTCTTTAGGTGTTTGGTGTAACAGCTTTGTGCATTTTCTGGCTAAGAGCCCATTCACACTTGCCAGATGGTAATGTATAAAACTGTGTATCCACATGTGTAAAAGCACGTCAATACATGTTTACAAATGCTATGACGTACATTGATTTGCAATGCAAAGCGCTTTGCAACACAAGTCAGTGTGCATTGATGCATTATTTAAAGTACTTCTTGTTCTGAATCCTGCCTTGGTTGCTGAGCTAGCATGGTCAACAGCACTACCCCTCCTTCCTCCATTCACTGCTGACCATGCTGCAGATGTTATCCCCCTCTTTTCTGTGTATGTATACACAAGATGACAGAGAGATGTAGATTAGATGACAGAGCTGCAGAAGATATCCCCCTCTCCTCTGTGAGACCTGTTACCAACACTTCTCTTCTGTGTATGCATATTATGATGATGGGATACCTGAGCATTGCTTTGAAATGTAAGTCCCAGCAATTATTCCCAACAAGGCAGTTCTGATAAAATCACCCTAGAAACAGACACGTTGGGGTTTATTTACTAAAGCTGGAGAGTCCAAAATCAGACTCTCTTCTGCATAGAAACCAATCCGCTTCCAGGTTTCATTGCCAAAGCTTCATTGAACAAGCTGAGGTTAGAAGCTGATTGGTTTCTATGCAGAAGGGAGTCTGATTTTGGACTCTCCAGCTTTAGTAAATAAACCCCGTTGTGACTAGGTGGCAGTGTTTGCATTTTTTTCCCTCAGAGTGATTTTAATGAAGTAGACTATGCAAAGTTTTTATTATAACTGTTTTTTTATTTTTTTTGTCCTGCAGTATCTGCTTCATAGTGGATCATGTTCTGGGAGGTGCCCTACTTGATACTGAGAAGACTGAGAGCCCAGCGCGAACAGTTAGAAGATGAAGAAGAAGATGATAACCATTATGAGTCACCACCACGTCAGAACAGAGAGGTTAAAAACAAAATGATTAATAGAAGACAGTTTTTAAGAAGACGGAGGCGCAGAAGAATCTTTCCAGCCAGAATAAACCTCTCTGAGATTGATGAACGCGATATTCAAGAACGCTATCGTCTTAGCTCGGATTTTATAATGTCCCTCTATGAACTCATAAAGAAAGACCTAATTTCTACTACAAAGAGAAGTAATGCGGTTCCCGGGATTGTGAAATTGCTTTGTGCCCTCCATTACTTCACCAGTGGTTCCTTACAAAGCACCGTAGCTGAAGCTGGCGGTATAACCCAAAGCACATTCAGCCGAGCTCTCTCTGAGGTTATATCTGCAATATTGAAGCTGCAAGATCAGTTTATAACATTTCCCAAAAACACAGGAGGACAACAACTGAATATGGCAGGATTCCACTGCATTGATGGGTTTCCAAATGTTCTGGGTGTGCTGGGCTGTACACACATTGCAATCTCTCCCCCCTCAGAAATGGAACAAATGTATCGTAATAATAAGCATTACCATTCCATCAATGTACAGCTGGTCTGTGCTCCAGATATGAGGATCCTGGATGTGGTTTCACAGTTTCCCGGATCAACACACAACTCAAATCTACTGAAGCAATCCAGGATACATGATAGATTTGAGAAAGAAGAATTTAATGGCTGGCTTTTGGGTACATGTGTTATCATTTTTGCTAGTCAGGGCAATTCATACAATGCTGAACCTTACTTATCATACTAGAAGCGTCTCAGTAGTAAAGATGCACATACTTCAGACTAGCTTTTTATATATTGATTGATGTGAATATATTTGTTCACTCCCAACTTCCTGAATAATTAATCCTTATGGAGAAAGTAGATTTTAGTAACAGTGTATACTTGGGATACTGCAAAGAGGTTTTATCCTGATGAAGGTGCCCATAGAATTCTAGCTATTAGAATGCTTATTCCGGGAATGCACCTATGTGTGTTTAGGCGCTTTTGAGCATTTTTTTAATGTTCAAAAGCTCCTCTTCTGAATGCACAAGTGAAGGGTTTTTTCTGTCTCTAACTGCCCCTGCCTCTAAACTCCTATGTGTGCATGGACACATAAGTTAACATGGAGGGGGTGTTTAGACAAAAAAAAAAACTCAAACCTCTTTAAAAGCAGCGTTTTTTAACTCAAGTATGCATGAGGCCTAAATGTACTAATGATATTGTGTAGCAACACCACAGACAAAGCAAGGGTATAGTGTGTAATTGCACTTAAAAGAAGCTTTTGTTAAGAGAAATTTAGAGGGCTGCATTGCTGACCACCTCCTAACATTGATAGTTCCTCACTGTTTTATTTCTGTACTAAGTCATTGACATGACATACACTATATTGCAAAAAGTATTGGAACACCCCTCCAAATCATTGGGCCTCCATGGCCACAGGTGTATAAAATGAAGCACCTAGGCATGCAGACTGCTTCTACCAACATTTGTGAAAGAATGGGTCACTCTCAGGTGCTCAGTGAATTCAAGCGTGGTATCGTGATTAGTTGTCACCTGTGCAATAAGTCCATCTGTGAAATTTCCTTGCTACTAAATATTCCACGGTCAACTGTTAGTAGTGTACTGACAAAGTGGAAGAAACTGGGAACAACAGAAACTCCGCCACGAAGTGGTAGGCCATGTAAAATGACAGAGCGGGGTCAGCGGATGCTGAAGTGCGCAGAAGTCGCCAACTGTCTGCAGAGTCAGTAGCTAAAGACCTCCATACTTCATGCTGTCTTCAGATTAGCACAACAACAGTGTGTAGAGAGCTTCATGGAATGGATTTCCATGGCCGAGCAGCTGCATCCAAACCTTACATCACCAAGTGCAATGCAAAGCGTCAGATGCAGTGGAGTAAAGCATGCTGCCACTGGACTCTAGACCAGTGGAGACGTGTTCTCTGGAGTGACTAATCACGCTTCTCTGTCTGGCAATCCAATGGACATTTCTGGGTTTGGCAGTTGCCAGGAGAACAGTATTTGCCTGACTGCATTGTGCCAAGTGTAAAGTTTGGTGGAGGGGGATTATGGTGAGGGGTTGTTTTTCAGGGGTTGAGCTTGACCTCTTAGTTCCAGTGAAGGGATTTCCTTAAGGTGTCAGCATACCAAGACATTTTGGACAATTTTATGCTCCCACTTTGTGGGAAGAGTTTGGGGATGACCCCTTCCTGTTCCAACATGACTGAGTACCAGTGCACAAAGCAAGGTCCATAAAGACATGGATGAGCGAGTTTGGGGTGGAGGAACTTGTCTGGCCTGCACAGAGTCCTGACCTCAACCCGATAGAACACCTTTGGGATGAATTAAAGCGGAGATTGCGAGCCAAGTCTTCTCGTCCGACATCAGTGCCTGACCTCACAAATGTTTTTCTGGCAGAACGGTCAAACATTCCCATAGACACACTCCTAAACCTTGTGGACAGCCTTTCCAGAAGAGTTGAAGCTGTTATAGCTGCATAGGGTGGACCAACTCCAATATTGAACCCTATGGAGTAAGACTGGAATTCCATTAAAGTTCATGTGCGTGTAAAGGCAGGCATCCCAATACTTTTGGCAATATAGTGTATTTCTCAATTTGAATGTATTTGGTGTCCAGCCAGTAGTTGCTGCAGCACCCACTTACATTTACAGCCTGTTCCGGGAATATTTTCAGGACTACAGGACAGTTCTCAACTGTGTTTTCATTATAAATATAATAATGCTATCAATTAAAAGCAGCTCTTGGGCCCATTCACATATATATGCCAACATGTTGCAGTGCAAAACCTGCAAAGGGTGGGCCAACTCAATATTGAACCCTATGGACTAAGACTGGAATGCCATTAAAGTTCATGTGCGTGTAAAGGCAGGCGTCCCAATTATTTTGGCAATATAGTGTAAGTATGAAGATCAGGATAGTTACAGTGACTCCGATAATATTAAAGTCTTCGGATCAGTGTGACTACCAGGGAACAAGAATCCTGATAAATAGAGATCAGCAGGTTAAAATTATTATGCTTTTTTGCAATATTGTAAGAATCATAAAATTCTATAGATTTGGCTTATAATGAAACATAGCAAAGTGTCTCTCTAGAAATGGACCAAATGAACGTATGAATTTCTGTTTCATATGATTGTGTCTTTCTTAGGTGATGAAGGTTATGGCGTTAAACCGTGGCTTCTAACTCCCTTTGACAAACCAGTTACAAAGGAAGAAATTCGATACAATATATCACACAGTTCAACTTATTCTGTTCTGGAGCGAACTGTTGAGGTGCTCAAAAGCCGCTTTCGCTGTTTGGATAATCCTAATGGAGTGCTGCTGTACAACCCAGAAAAAGTTTGTAAAATTATCCTCGTGTGCTGCATAATCCATAACATAGCAATCATGAAATGTCTAGATGTAGACATTGCACTGGATCTGAGACTTCCAATCAAAGATGAGTCTATAGAGGATGACACCGAGGAAGGCACTCTACAGCGGGATAAAGTTGTAGCCGAGTTCTTTTCCGGTAAGCTTCACCTTTCACTCGGTGAACATTCATGATCTGTTCCTGAAGCAAACCTGTAGCAGAACATCTACCAGATTTTGATGTTCTAGGGCAGCCTAGAATATAATAGTTGGTATGTGATTAGTTACTATGAACAAAATCAGTATTTCTTTTTTCTTATCTAATGTATATAGTAAGTGGAACACCTTTTTGAGGCAGCAGGATTCTGATTTGAATTCAGATATTTCCAATGTTAGTGTGTGTGTGTTACAACTTGCTTTATGTACATATTTTATCTTAATTTTGTTTCAGGCTACAAAACAATATGCAAATATTTTTTTTTTAATCTGGGAAATATTACATTTTATATACATATTTTTAATGTGAATATTTCATATGTCCAACATGCAGTCATCAGGTGGCAGGCTTGAGACTATGTTTCTATTTTCTAAAGGCTAATTTACTGCTTCAATATTCTGAATAGTCTGTAAGCTCGAAAGATCCCCTTATGTTTTGCATTGTATTGGTATTGTTCTGTCACATGTTCTGTCTCCCTTTTGTAATGTACAGCGCTGAGCGAACTATTGGCGCTTTATAAATACTGTATATAATAATAATAATAATATCCTATGTTGTAAATGGACCTAACTGGAGATGGAATTCAAATTACTTGCACAGCTGAATGACTTGGAGAGGACACCCCCCTCCTTCTCCCTACCGCAGTCCAACAGGATTGGCAGTTAGGCTGAGACAGTCCACAAGCATACGGGAATGCTAGATTTTCACAAAAGAAAACCCATCATTTTTTGCTACCCCTTCCCCCCTATGTCACCTTCCTTTTTTGGATTAAGGACAGACTGAACAGTACCGCTTGCTTTGTTCTCAACTGGGACTGCAATAAAAAACATTTTTCCATTAAAGTAGGGAATTGTTAGAACTTTTGTCTGGTGGTCAGTACTGTTGTGAACCTTGTAAGATATGTGCAAACATTTTTATTGAATATACATCATTTTAAATTGGTAGTAAACTCAGCTTTTGAATTCTATAATAAGGCTTACCTATAGGTATAGTGAATATCTCCTAAACTTGTGATGTTTAGGAGATATTCACATGGGTTGCAGCCGGTGACGTTATCAGTGCATGTGCTCTGCACAGATGGCATACTCGTGACATCCCTTCAGAGCTCTGTGCTGTGGCCTTGACTCCCTTGTGGCTCAGCCATTCAAGTGGTTTGTATTAAAGTCCTGTCAGCAGTGACAGCATGCCACTTGAGCGCTTCATTTTAAAAAAAGAATGCCATCATATGTTAGTATGAGTTGCGCATTTAGTGTTTTTTTTTTTTTGTTTTTTGTTTTTTTTAGAAAGTTTACTACCGCTTTAGGAAAGCTTTCTGTTACATGTTCTCATTAATGGATATTTCAAATGTTGATTTTCTTTTTAACAGCTTTCGTCACAAGTGTCTTGTTTTTTTTTTTTCACAGATTGAATGAACTGCAATGCTGTGCAAGTCCAAGATGCTGCTGCGAGCATTTCATCCTATCACAATGAGCATTTTCTTGTTCACATAGAATAGATCATAGATTTAACAGTATTTTTTATTCACTTTTTTTGCTGTTGTTACTATAATTTTTTTTTTAGCTAGCTCTTATTTATATATAGAAATGTATCAGGTTGTTTTGCATAGTTAATTGCTGTAGAATGTAGCATTACCCATTTCATGTTGTTATGCTATTATTTTGTTTGTGTTTTTTTAAAATAAATTACCGTTTTTTTCCAGTACATACATTTTAAAATTTAAGTGAAGTTTCATTCCAGGAAATACAGATAATATACTGTACATGACCCCTTGACAACATTTAACCACTTTAAGACCATGCCTATTGTATCACTTTTTGTTTACATGTAAAAATCCATTTTTTAAATTTTTTTTTTTGGCTAGAAAATTACTTAGAACCCCCAAACATTATATATTTTTTAACCAGGGGCCTTAGAGAATAAAATCTTGGGTTTTGCAATTTTTTTTTTATGTCACACGGTATTTGCCCAGCGGTTTTTCAAACGCAATTTTTTTGGAATAAGATACACCTTTAATGCAAAAACACAATTGAATACCTAATTGTTCAGTCAAGTATAAAAGATGAGTAAATATATACCTAAAATGTCACGCTTTAAAATTGTGCGTGTTGGTGGAATGGTGCCAAACTACTGTACTTAAAAAAAATTTCCATAGGCAACGCTTTAAAAGCCTTCACAGGTTACTAGATTAGAGTTACACAGAAGGTCTGGTGTTAGAATTATTGATTTTACTATAACGTTCGTGGCGATACCTCACTTGGGTGGTGCTAACACTTTTTACATATGAATGTGCGACCTACGTACGCGTTCACCTTTTAGCATGGGAACATTTTAAATTTTGTTTTTATTATATTAAAAATGTTTTTATTTTTACACTGTCCCATTTTTATTTGTTGATCTCTTTTATTACTATCACAAGGAATGTAAACATCCCTTGTGATAGCTGTAAGGTCTTTTTTACTCAGACATCTGGGGGTTTATTTACTAAAGCTGGAGAGTCCAAAATCAGACTCCCTTCTGCATAGAAACCAATCAGCTTCTAACCTCAGCTTGTTCAATGAAGCTTTGGCAATGAAACTTGGAAGCTGATTGGTTTCTTTGCAGAAGGGAGTCTGATTTTGGACTCTCCAGCTTTAGTAAATAAACCCCCTGGTGTCTATAAGACCCCAGATGTTTCCTTTGCCCTTGAAAGCTTTGGATCAAACCCAGATCGGTTCGATCCAAAGCTTTCCTAAGCCAGTAATGGCTGGCAAACAAATTACCAAAACCGGAAGTGTCAAAATACTCATAGCTTCTGGTTTTGTATACCACAAAGATGATCGGGGAGGTTCTGGTTCCCAACCACCTCCTGTGGTAAGCCGGAAGAACCACTAGCTTCAGTCCCGGGACGGGAGAGCCCAGCGAGGCACCAGACGGAGGCTGGGGGAGTAAAAGCAATCCAGCTGCTAAGTAGCCGGTAGGATTACTTTTACAAAAAAGATAATCAGCTGCCCAAAAAGAACAATACCAGGATGATGCTTGTAGCTGCAGGCATCATCCCGGCATAATCACTTTAAACTGACAATTTATATGTACATTAGCCGAGGTGTTAAAGCCAAAAACATGCATTCTATTGCAGCTTACCAATTCTCAGATGTGATGGCAGCATTTGTTTTTTTTTTTAGGCTATCAAATGCCCCTGAAAAGTGATCCACTGTGGATTGCTTTTCAGAAGTGTGACAGCGATAGCCTAAACCTAGCCTTATACTTTGTTTCAGCAAATATACAATACAGTATATGGTCGTGAACATAACAAAATATCAGCAGTACGTGAACAGAAACTTGGACTGAAAGCCTGCTAGTTGCTTATATAAAGCAAATGCTAGTACTGCAGTTATGATCCATGGTTAACACAGATCATATTTGGAGTGCATAGATGGAGCTGAAGATTGTTTTAAGCTTGGTTGCTGCCACTGATGTAACTAGGTGCTCGGTCAACTTCAAAAGAGTGCAGAGCTGACATCAGGGGTATAATAGACACCTGATATGTTCCTAAAGAGAACCTGTCATCTGCACAAGCATTAAAGTCAAGTTAAAAACATTTTGTTCAAATTGGGTGCGTACTAGTATTGGGTATCGCCACACATGCTAGAATGAGAACAATCACTTTAGGGCTATTATATTCACTGTTAATTCTAAACTGATGATCTGTAAAGGCTTTTAAAGCATCACATAGAAGCAGATTTGGGTAGTTTTTTGGCTTGACAAATTTGGTATCTATTTGCTCAATGTACCTTTCTTTTTTATTTAAGTGGAACTTTACCCATAACAACTTGATAAAAATATTCTTTAGCAAAGAACATACTTTTGACGTAAGAATTATGCTCATGTCTCTTTTTTTCCCAAAGGCTTCCATTTTGCTGAAGCCCCAGAGCCCCTGAGCAACAGTAAATCTTTAGACTGTCAGCAGATCAGCCTTTACATTTTCGGCACAGAGCTGAAAAATAGAGAGCGACTGAGCATGTGCAGAGAGAGTGTATTACTGGATTTTGACCACCTCCCGCCCGCCATATTATGAAATGATGGGCAGGGCGGCAGCCCTCTCGTTCTGGGAGGACGTCATATGACGTCCTCCCACTCTAACTGCGCATGCGCGCCCCCCGGCGATCGGTGGTGCGCTGTGTCCCTGGGACACAGCGGATCACCAATCACAGTAAAGAGCTGATGACACGGGCTCTGTCATGTGATCAGCTGTGTCCAATCACAGCTGATCGCATGTAAAAGGAAATGCCAATTATCAGCAGTCCTATCCTCGCGCTGACAGCGTGTGAGGAGAGTAGAGCCAGTAAGCAGCATTCCTCAGAGGGGACATCTACACTGATCATCAGTGCCCTGATGATCAGTGTAGTCCCATCGGTGCCACCTGTCAGTGCCCATCAGAGTTGCCTTTCAGTGCTGCCTATCAGTGCCAGTCAGTGACGCCTAACAGTTCCTTTCAGTGCCCACCAGTGATGCCTGTTAAATCTGATCAGTTCAGCCTGTCAGTGCCCATCCCTGCAGCCTCATTAGCACACATCAGTGACGGAAAATTACTTTTTTATAACAGAAACCAAGAAAAAAATTTTTTTTTTTCAAAATTTTCTTTTTTTTTTTTAGTTTGTTTAGCAAAAAAAAAAAAACCCAATGGTGATTAAATACCACCAAAAGAAAGATCTATATGGCTAAAAAAAAAAAAAAAGATAAACATTTCATATGGGTACAGTGTTGCATGACTGCTCAGTTGTCATTCAAAGTGCGACAGTGCTAAAAGCTGAAAATTGGCCTGGGCAGAAAGAGGGTAAAAGTGCCCTGTAGGCAAGTTTTAAAACCGTATAGACATTTATTTTTTAATGTTTTACATAGCTATACCTGCACAAGGGACCAGCCTGAAGTGATCTAGCAGGACTTAATTTTCTGACTAAAGTTCCAC